CCTCTTCATCTTCCGCCTCTTCCTTCTCTTCCTCTTCCTCCTTCTCTTCCTCCTCCTCTTCATCTCCTTTTTGAGACACTGAAGTACAGGCTGACCTCAAACTCCCACCTTAGCCTCTAGAACTATGGGATTCAGGCAGGCCCTATCACACCTAATCAGGGTTTCTATTCTTTTGCCCAGCAACACTCACATATAACCTCCTGATGACCTCATAAACAGCAAAAGACAAGACTGTAGTTTTCTCTCCACCTCATGGCCACAAGTTCAGCAACCCTGGACCATGCTTTCTGATCCAAACTGCTTCATCTCCTGCTTCCCAATATTGTCTTAATCATTAGAGATAATCTAGGGATGATTAAGGGAGATTATGGGGAGGTCGTATGCAATTTATGTACAAGCCTTGAACATTCCCAGATATCAGTATACAAGGAAGGTCCTGACGCCAATCCCTCATGGGCACCAATGGGTGACCTTAGTTAGGAGCCATGGATCAGGTGCTGCAAGATGAATCTGAATTTTCCAATCTTGAAATTCGACCTTGAGAAAGCCCTTTACCATCTGAACTATACACTCAGCATATCCCAGCACTGTGCTGTTGCTTTGTGTTGGCTTTGTCTTAATGAGTGAGCTGAGCTGTGGACAGTCACCCATGTGCTTTGGGGTTAGAGATAGGGAGGAATAGTTGAAAGTTATATTGCCAGCACAGATGGGGATTGTTTTGTGGAATCTGGAAATTTGGACTACCTCCGCACATTGAGCACATGTACTTTGCCTCTAGGGTATGCTGTTCTCCAGGGAGAAGGTCGTTGTTTGTAATCCCAGGCCCTGGGTTGGGCACCAGGTGCTCCATCACACTTGGGCTTCCTTGAGGAGAGTGAAGGAAAAGTCAGTGTTAATTAATACTTTGTGTGTGTATGTACTCCATGGCTTTTGGAGTCCATGGCTTTTGGAGTACACATACACATACAATGTGCACACACTCCATGGCTTTTGAAAAGGATGCACAGCTTGAGGACCTGCAAATGGGGATGCACTGAATATTGAGTCATGCCTCCATCCTGTAGCTGGACCTTCCTGCTGCTTTGAACCCTCTCCTTTCATGCCACTGAGAAGGAGCCAAGGACTGTAGCTTAATAACTGAGAACACACCCGGCAGAAAAACTCTTTCCCACAAGTCCGCATTAAAACACACTGCTCTGCTAAAGGAGAATCTGTTCTATCAGCCAAATCCGAGAAAGGGTCAAGGTGGGGAAAGACAGCATCCCAGAGTCTGGCTTCTATGTGTGACGAGGTGCTTTGGGGTACTAGAGATGGTGTTAGGAGGTCCTGCGTCTCTGTAGCAATGCAGCTATCAAACAGGCCCCTTTGCAGAGTCTGATGAAGGCCTAGAGGGGGACGTTTCCACATCAAGCACTGGTTATTTTGCCATGCGTGTTTAGTAATAACCAAAACCACTTTTATGAACATCGCGCTAACTCTTCAAAAGGTAAAGCAAACCAGGTGGGTGGCACACAGTTTCACTCCCAGCACTTGGAGGCAGAGGCAGGTGGATCTATGTGAGTTTGAGGCCAATCTGGTCTACATAGAGAGTACTAGGATAGCAAGGGCTATGTAGAAACTCTTTCTCAAAAAAAGTTAAAGTAAAATTATATATAATCAAGGTTTTTATGTTTAAAACACAACAATTTTAGACAAACAAAACAATTTCTATCTTTGTAGAACTTAGTTGTCATTTTGTTAAAAAAAATGTCTACTTAAACTTTTGGGTTGAGTAATAACTCCTTTTATTTTTTCTCTTCCTCCTTCACTCCCTTCCTTCACTCCCTTCCTTCCTTCCTTCCTTCCTTCCTTCCTTCCTTCCTTCCTTCCTTCCTTCACTCCCTTCCTTCCTTCCTTCACTCCCTTCCTTCCTTCCTTCCTTCCTTCCTTCTTTCCTCTCTCCCTCCCTCCCTCTCTCCCTTCCTCCCTCCCTTTCTCCCTCCCTCCCTCCCTCCTTCCCTTCCTTCTTCCCTGAGACAAAGCCTAGCTATGTAGTTTAGGCTTGAACTCTCAGTGATTCTCCTGCCTCAGCTTTAGTTATAGTTGAGAGTCACCACCTCTGGCTGTATTACCTCTTATCATTCCTTAGAACATTTGTAAAGTTTGTTTTTCTTAGGACAAATAATTTTTTGTATTTTTGTATCTGTGCATATGTGTGTATGCACACACATATCTGTACATATTTCTGTGTGCAGATCTGTTTGTGTACATGTGAGCATGCATGTGGAGGTCAGAGGTCAATATCAAGTGTCTTTCTCAATTGTTCTCTATATCATCATCATCATCATCATCATCATCATCATCATCATCATCATGTATGTGTGTGTGTATGCAAGTGCCATGCTCTGAAGCTAGGGTCACAGTCTGGGTACTGGGAACACAACTCCCAACCTCTGGAAGAGTGCCACGTGCTCTTAACTGCTGAGTCTCTACTTTATTATTCCGAGATCTCTTACTCAATCTGGAACTTGACAATTTGCTTAGTCTGGCTGGCCAGTGAACCCCAGGGACCTTTCTGCCTTTGCCTTCCCAGTGTTGGTGTTATAGTTTCCTGCAGCTAGTCTTCATTTTTATCTGGATGCAGGAAATTCAACTTACTCCTCATGCATGCACAACAGACACCTTACTGATTTAGCCATCTCTCAGTTTCGTTTGGGTGGAGTGATTATTGTTATTGGTGTGTGTGTGTGTGTGTGTGTGTGTGTGTGTGTGTGTGTGTGTGAGAGAG